ACCCTCATTTTCGTGTTTTCAAATTATGTGTGCAGGTAATGATTATAAGGGAAAGGGTGTTATGTGAATTACTTCTCTATATGCTTAGCTATTTTGGAAGCATAGATGCTAGGATGCAAGAGCATGTACTTTTGGAATTTTTGGGTTGTATATTTTATATTACAGACTCTTGTATCGAGGACCTATGTGGGGAAAACATGTATTCTATATATGAAATATGTGTTATATGCAATATGTGGATTTGGGGTGTTACATAAAGACCAGTCTATTCGTGATGTGAAAAGAACATTCAGTGATAATAAGATTGACTAAAACAAGTGTGAAATCTGACCAAGACTCAGTGATAGCTGAACAGTCTTTAGTGTTTCCTTACTGTCGCTAATCAAAGAATCTTGCACAATAAGATTAGTTTCTGTCTTATCCTCTTTGCACAAAAGGACATACCCATGCTTTCCACATAAAGGTACATATATAGATTTGCTTTATTGTCTTCAAACGTTCTTACCAGCTACATGAAGATCACTATTCATATGCGACCAAAAGCCTTGTTGATCCCGTTAGGGTCTACAAGATGTGTATAATAGTTTGTAGAAGGGGGGATGAATACAAACATAGTATTTTCAAATTTAAAATATATATTGATAAGAGAAGATCAATACAGATTTTACAAGGTTGTTTGCGGAAATATAAGGTAAGACAAACCTATCTAAACAATCTAAAGTTTACACAATTAATCTTAGCAAATAAGAAAAGATTTGATGTTAAAGAAATAGTAGAAAGTAAGTTCTATCTGGGAAAGAACTTGTTTAGAATACAATGAAAGGGATTCTAACTTGCTCTTGAAGATGAACGTATTTGTTCTTAGATGTGTGTTCCCTTTTTAAGCGCAAGAAAGCTCAGAGTAAAGTTTAGAGTAAGAGTGTCTCTGCATGGAGATAGAACACTTCTATTTATACCTGTTGCATTAAATGCACATTTAATGCATCGTGGTAGGGTTAGAACGTGTGTCAAGCCTTAAGGGAAACGTTTGTCCTTTGCTACAGTGAATAGTACAAAAGCCTATTCATGAGCAGACATCCTTTCACAAAGTTGGTGGGTAATAGAGTCAACTAGTCGGCTCCGTACGGTACTAACTCTTAGAAAAGGTATGGGGTGTGTGCAAGGACAAGACAAAATCAATCGTGCTCAACAAGCTTCTTTTGATCGCTGAATGCTGAAATAACCTGAAGATCTCTTCAGCATTTGCCGAGGTTTAGGCAGTCTTCACACATATGTAGACAAAGTTGTAATAACTGAATACCGCTTCAGATCATGTACTTGTCAGTCTCTAATCTTCAGTTTCAGTCTTCGACTTTCGTTGAAGGTTATTTGGTGTGAATGTTTGTCTTCTTGAAGTATTATTGTCGCTGATTGGATTTACAATACAAGTTCTTCAGCGATTACTGAACAGACTCAATAATGATCGCTGGAATTGAAAAACAGAAACCTAAATACTTCGCATAGGGTATAAGGGATTATCATCAAATCAAATGAGAGAGGGGATCAACACATATTTTAAATTAATATACAATTATGTATGTTAATGTGATAAGGGTGTAAAATGAAAAATGAAAAACAAAGGGACATACCATAAATTACATAATTAGCTACAAGAGTATAAAGTATAAGTGTTAAAAATATTTTTTTGTAGTAATATATGATATAATAATATAATTAAATAAAAAAAATATTCAATATTAAACTTATTTTGAAGGTATTGACAAGACGATTATAATGATGTAACTTGTTAAAATTAGAACGTATTTTTTTAACGTATTTTAGTTAATATATAATTATGTATCTTAATGTGATAAGGATATAAAACAAAAAATAGAAAAAAACAAAACTATAAAAATAAATTAATTAAGTAACTACAAAATATGAAGTATAATTTAAAAATTAACAAGTATATNTTATAATGATGTAACTTGTTAAAATTAGAACGTATTTTTTTAACGTATTTTAGTTAATATATAATTATGTATCTTAATGTGATAAGGATATAAAACAAAAAATAGAAAAAAACAAAACTATAAAAATAAATTAATTAAGTAACTACAAAATATGAAGTATAATTTAAAAATTAACAAGTATATTAAAAAAATGAGTATGTAAGATGAACAAGATGAATAAAGGGTATGAAAATGCTTCCTAAAGGTTAATTTCGTTGTTAGATCTAATTTTAGTTAATATAAAATTATGTTTTTCAATGTGATAATGGTGTAAAGCGAAAATTGAAAAAATAAATTATGTACTATAAATTAAATAAATAACTATAAAGTATAAAGTGTAAATATTAAAAATATTTTTTCATAATATATATATATATATATATATATAACATATAATAAAGTAAAAAACCATTCAATATTGAGCTCATTTCGAAGATATTAACGAGACGATTATAATAATGTAATTTATTAAAATAAAAACATATTTTTAACAAATTTTAGTTAATATACAATTATGTATGTTAATGTGATAAAAGTGCAAAACGAAAAACGAAAAAGTAAGGGATGTACTCAAAAATTAAATAAATATAATGGTATAAAGTGTAAGTGATAAAAATATTCTTTTGTAATATATATCATATAATAATATAATTTAAATCAAAAAATATTCAATATTAATAATTTTCGAAGGTATTGAGAAGACAATTTATAATTATATAACTTGTTAAAATGAAAACATATTGTTGGTCCCATTAGGGTCTACAAGATGTGTATAACAGTTTGTAGAATGGGGGGAGGGGATGAATACAAACACAAAATTTTCAAATTTAAAATATATATTGACAATAGAAGATCAATACAGATTTTACAAGATTGTTTACGGAAAGATAAGGTAAGAAAAACATATCTAAACAATCTGAAAAGTTTACACATTAAACTTAGCAAATAAAGAAAAGATTTGTTGTTAAAGAAATAGAAGAAAGTAAGTTCTATCTGGGAGAGAACTTGTTTATAATACAATAAAAGAGATTCTAACTTGCTCTTAAAGATGAGCGTATTTGTTCTTAGATGTGTGTGTTCTTTTACTTAACCATAAACAAGCTTAGAGTAAGGGTTAAGAGTATATGTATATCTCTGCATGGAGATAGAACACATCTATTTATACTCATTGCATTAAATGCACATTTAATGCAACGTAGTAGGGTTAAAACGCGTGTCAAGCCTTAAAGGAAAGACTTGTCCTTTGCTACAGTGAATAGTACAAAAGCCTATTCATGAGCAGA